TGTTCTGTGAATCTGGCTTTATATCTACTAGTGCTAAAAAGGAAATGTAATTAATATATTTTCAATGAAGGATACTTAAACTTTAAACTAACAAGTAAGCACAATTAAAAGTAATTTGACTTTTATGGTTCCTTGCTAAGAAAGTAAACAATTTTTATGATTCATAATAATGAAAAACTTTCCCACTGTCATTCCTTTTTAATCATTTGTACAGTTTGTAATTAGTTTTGTGTGTATGTTTGATATCATATATATTTTATTCATGGTTTATAGAAAAACTCAATGAGGTCAATGTGTTTTAACTTCACATGTAACTAGGTAATACAAGTTTAGTGTCCAATTTAGTTTGCTTAATTACTAATGAACTAGAAAACAAAGCACAAAAGCTTGTCATCTGATAATCTTTAAAACATGCAACGTTTGTGCACATTATCTGGACTGAATACATAAAAATAAAATAAAAAGCACCACCATCCAAATCTTTCTTTAAAAAAATAATTAAAAACTGGCATGTAAAAATAACACAAATTACAGGTATGATGTGTCAATAACTTTTAGGAATTAAATTTCTAAATATTAAAATCATATTATTATTAAATATTTTAATAGTAACAGCATCTATTTGATCTGCAAAGACACTTCACACTAAACATTTTATAAAGTTGGTGTTTATTTACACAATCTATCTCACAATGTTTTTCTTTTGTAAAAACAGTGGAAATGTTTCATACCAATATATTTACATGTTCTACATGTACATTACCAGCCAACAATCTTTTACTCTCTTTGCTTCTCTTGTTCTTTTGTTAATAATGAAACATTACAACAAAAACTATAGGTGTTTTTGTTGGTGAATAACCATTTTGTACTCGTTATAGTTTCTATACTACAACGTTTCTTACAGTATATGTATATCCACAAAATTTGGCAGACTTTCCGTAAACATTACAAGTCTTTTTCACACAAAAAATCAGATTTTTTAATATAATATTTTTATTAAAGATTTGTCTTTGAACATATATAATTTTTTTTACTAGTCTTACCACAAAGTGATTTCCCCATTAATATTAAAAATACTTTTCTTCATCTCAAAAATCTCAAATTTCATTTGTGTAATGTCTATAACCTCTAAAGTAAATTTCACACGTTTTTTCAGTAAAACTTTATATTTTATCCGTTATTTTCTCTACCCTAACTCTATGCAAGGTTGATCAATTTGACCAATGTGATCAATTTTTTTTTAAATTTCTAAATAAATCTAAATTACCCTTTTTTCTTTTTAGAATGACTTCAAATCGTAACATGAAACTACATTTGTTTATCCTAAATAGCTTTCAACTCGTAACAATATATATATATATATATATATATATATATATTTATAGTTAAATTTTATTGTTTCATTGCCCTTTGAACCATTTTTAACTATTATTCTCGTCATTATAAGTTGTAAATCAATTAGCAAATGTGCAGCTCGTGTTATGCTATTGAATTAAATTATTCATGAGCTACTCGTGAGTATAACTCATGAAAAATGTTTATTATAATATTCTTATTTATTTACCTAATCTAACCTTAACTAACATAAAATGTTTCCTATTTTTATATCTTAATTGCTTTATAATAATAAATAAAAAATACATATGGAAAATAAGAAATAAAGAACTTACCTGGGCCTACTGTTTTTTTTTGTAAGTTTGATGCTGTCGACTGTCGATGAAACTTACCCTTACTCTTTTTTTTTATACTAATGGTGCTACCGCACTAAATAATTTTTTATTTAATTAAATAATGCTCCAAAGAACACAAAATAATAACATAAAAAAAGCAGTATATGTCCCATAACTATGACAGTTTTTCTGGCTTTCTAACTATGCATCAAAAGCCATTAGAATTCAGCTAAGCTTGTTGATGTGTTTCCCATGAGTAAAAAAATTGAACTGGAAGCTAAAATGACAATTCTCTGCTCATAAAACAATGTAATACTATATGCCATTTGATAGAGTAAATCCTTGGCTTTAGTTATAAATAATATGGTATTGAATGTCAGAGAGAACTATTGGCAATTTCTGAAAGAGAGGATGTCTGATTTTCTATTTTGATTGCTCTGTAACCAAATAAGATTGAAAATTATAAAAACATTGCTTTGCCTGAGTGATGACAACATTATAATGAGTAATTTAGGTTACATTTCATACTTCTTGAAAGGGTTGTAAGAAAATTAAAGAAGAGTGGATGCCTAGAGATGTTAGATATACACGACTGTTTCATTTAAATTTGATAAGAGAGTTATGGTTTAGATGGTTATAAAGCACGAGTGTTAAATTTAGTATTTTTAGAAGCAACAATTTATCACAGGTTTGCTTACATAACTGATTACAAATTATCTGTTATGTAGTTCAATTGTTTTGAATTGACATCACGTTACTCAAACCTTCTGGATTTTTCTCGTTGCTTTAAGAGAGTATTGTTACATCATAACATCTCGTAGTTTGTAAAAAGTGAAGGAAGGAAGGATGTGAAAACAAGACAAAGTTAGTGAAAGATATAGGTCTAGACTGTTTGTAAGTTTAGCCATAAAGAGTGTATACTGGTAACTTTTAAGGTGTTATAATCACAGATAGTATTGTAATAACAGAGTGAAAAAAATAGTTTGTCTTGTCAATTGGGTTCTAAAGTAACTGAACCAGCCTTTGTGGACTTTGACAAAAAAAAAAAAAAAAAAAAAAAAAAATTTCCCC